TGAATTTCTAACAGGAATTTCAAAAATTTTAGCAAAGATTCAAATTTATCATTTGAAAGATCAGCTTTTCCAGTTCGAGTTCATAATGAGAAGAACTCATCTGAAGAAGGAAGAAGAAGTTCATAATGAGAAGAATTTGTTCAACCTTTTACCTGAATCCATCATTTGGTGGATCATCTTTTCCAGTTCGAGTTCATAATGAGAAGAACTCATCTGAAGAAGGAAGAAGAAGTTCATAATGAGAAGAATTTGTTCAACCTTTTTATATGAATCCATCATTTAATGGATCAGCTTTTCCAGAGAAAGTTCATAATGAGAAGAACTCATCTGAAGAAGGAAGAAGAAGTTCATAATGAGAAGAATTTGTTCAACCTTTTACCTGAATCCATCATTTGGTGGATCATCTTTTCCAGTTCGAGTTCATAATGAGAAGAACTCATCTGAAGAAGGAAGAAGAAGTTCATAATGAGAAGAATTTGTTCAACCTTTTATATGAATCCATCATTTAATGGATCAGCTTTTCCAGAAAGTTCATAATGAGAAGAACTCATCTGAAGAATGAAGAAGAAGTTCATAATGAGAAGAATTTGTTCAACCTTTTACCTGAATCCATCAATTGATGGATTATCTTTTCCAGTTCGAGTTCATAATGAGAAGAACTCATCTGAAGAAGGAAGAAGAAGTTCATAATGAGAAGAATTTGTTCAACCTTTTATATGAATCCATCATTTAATGGATCAGCTTTTCCAGAGAAAGTTCATAATGAGAAGAACTCATCTGAAGAAGGAAGAAGAAGTTCATAATGAGAAGAATTTGTTCAACCTTTTACCTGAATCCATCAATTGATGGATTATCTTTTCCGAGAAGTTCATAATGAGAAGAACTCATCTGAAGAAGAAAGAAGAAGTTCATAATAAGAAGAACTTGTTCAACTTTTGGCATAATTCTATCACAGAAGGAGATAGATTAACATCAGCCTTTCTAGAGAAAGTTCATAATGAGAAGAACTCATCAAGAGCTTATTCAACCTTTTGAATGACTCTATCACAGAAAGGAGGTCATCATTATCCCCAGCAGAAAGTTCATAATAAGAAGAACTTATTTGGAGAGAGAGAAGAATTTATTCAATATCTCCATTATGATCAAAGTAAAGTCAAATGGATAAAAATTTTATTATCTTTTCATCTTTGCCCTATTCTTGTTAACACAAGAATGAGCAAGAGGGGCAGCTGAAGATACTAATTTTTTTATCCATATTATTATTATTAATATTATTATTATTATTATTATTATTATTACTATTATTATTATTATTATTATTATTATTATCATTATTACTATTATTATTAAATATATTAAATACATATATAAATTACAGACCAATTACAACTGGACCGGCCTAGTTACAAACCAACCAGAACCGGTCCAAATCCAACCAGAAACCCTAAATATTTGGGTTTCCAGTTAGGGTTTCCTAACCCTAATTTAACCAGCCGCCTCAGCTCACAGCCGTTGGATCTGGCAAGATCCAACGGTCCAGATGGTTCCAGAGAGAAACCCTAGGGTTTGATACCCTAGGGCCACGCGGCGCCGCCCCAGTTTCCACGCGGCTGCCGACACTTTCTCGCCGCCGCCGCCGCTGCCACGTCCCAACCAAAGAATCCAGAAGCTGGAATACCAGCCGTCCACGCCATGGCTACTCGGTGAGTCACCACTGGTAGTTCGGTGACTCACCGAGACCCCATCTTCGGACCGGTCCGACGGCCACACCGGTGGTGGCTATAAAAGCCACCACCCCAACCTGAAAAAAAAGAAAGGAACAGAGACAGAGAACGAAACAGAGAGACAAAAAAAAAAAGAGAGACAGAAAGAAAAAAAAACAGAGAAGATACAAACTATTACCAACGATCTCAGCAGCACAAAAACCAGAAGAAAAAAAAAAGAGAGAAAAAGGAAGAAGAGCCTTACCGAGGAAGCCTCGACCACCGGATCTCGTCAGAACCTTCGAAACATCGAAGGTATTTTTGTAGATTCGCTCCGATTAGGAGCTTTTTAAGGGAAAAGAACACCGGGACCGTCCTTAGGACGGTCCGATCTATCTATTAGTATAAGAATAATTTTTTCCGGCCACCGGATGCGGTGGCCGGCGGTGACATTCACGGCGGCACACGGTGGCCGACCAGTGACCGGCTTCCCTCCGATGAGGGAAGCTAGAGAGAAGGCAGAGAGTTTTAAAACTCTCTCAGTCTTGAGAGAGAAAAAAAAAGAAATGAAATGGCTGGCCCTTCGGGCCAGCCGATTTGGACCATATATAGTCCTTCCCGAACGACGTCGTTTCGGGAAGGACTATGCGCGTAATTATAAAATAGTTAAACCCCGTCCGCAGTCCTCTGAACTTGTAAACTTTACATTTTAGTCACTAAATTGAATTTATAATATTTTTAATTCAGTCTTCGAATTTTAATTTCTTTTATTTTAGTCCCTCATATTAAAATAATATATTTAGGATAAATTACAGATTTGATCCATTAATTTTAATAAATAATATTTTAATCCCTAGTTTATATTTTTAACTTATTTGAATCTAATATCCGAATTTTAGATAATTTTATTTTAGTCACCAAATAAAAAATAAGAAATAACATATTTAATCCCTATAGTTTTGATTAATTATGAATTAGATTTAATTTTATTTTTACTGTAATTTAGTCATTTATTTTATATGTTTTAATTTATTTTATTGTTTTTAAATATATTGTTTTAGTAGTATTTTTATTTTATTATATTGTTAAATATTTTTATATTCATAAATATATAATAAATAGTATTTTTAATATTTATATCGAAGAAAAGGACAGTCTTAATACAACTGGATGTCCTATTCTGATATTTTAAAATTAAAAAGTAAACAATATTATTGAAAATTAATATTTATCAATATCAAAGAAAAGAGCTGTCTTAAGGCACCTAGAAGTTCTTTTCGGATATTTTTAAATAAATAAATATTTTTTTATAATTTTTAAATAATAGAATTATAAATTAAATATATTTTTTGAATTTTTAAAATTTTAATAATAGAGACAATTTATAATTAAAAAGTACCAATTTTGGGCGTTGTAGGGGTGCTAATCCTTCCCTAAACGTAACCGACCACGAATCCCTTTTTATTAAAAAGAACGAATTATTGGTTATAAACGCAGATCAGCTCATTTTTTAATTGGTGTTTTCTTAAAACACATTTAAAAGATAATTTTTAGGTATTCGACCTACCTAACCCAAAAGGACGATGGCGACTCCCAAATTATTTTCAAAATTATTTATTCACATCAATTTCCCTACAAATAAAAAAAAAATTTCGTGCCCGGACGAAAACCGGTTACGACACTTTTCTTTAACCTTGGCATGTACATCATATTTGAATGTTTAGTCATTCACCGAGCTTTATAGCTCACACTCGTTGGTTAATATTTTTCAAATCTTTTCTTGTTTACTCGAGAGCTTGAGGGGTAAGAAACTTGGTGGTAATCAAAGTAAGGAAGTATTTATAAAGTTATTTTGAGCATTGGTTACTTTAAGGTAATATGGGATCCTTAATTAAGATTTAAGTCGATTTGTTCTTATGACACTTGCTAATGCATAAGTGACCTATAATGACCTATGTGTACTATGATTCTTGAATGAATAATGGAATGATAAATGTTGATGTTAGATTGCATGTTATACAATATTACTAAGTATGCCTAAATGGTTCAAAGTATGATTTATGCCTAAAATACATGTTTTTATCGCCTATACAAGTTATAATAGGATGTTAAAATATGTTAGACTCATAGGAAGCATGAAACTACCAATAATGTAAGAAATAGTTATGTGACTTGTGGTTAAGTTGAATTTTTATGCAAATATTGACTTTGCATGCCAAATGTTTGAATTGTATGTTAATTGATGTTATGAAGCATGATACATATGTGTTCTGACATGTTCTAAGTGGTTTAAGCGTGTCCAAACATGTTTATAAACCTTAGGATTGATTGTATGGGAGTTTGGTGGCTTGTTATTTCATTTTTTTTTAATCAATTTTATGCATTTTCATGAAAAATTATCGATCTCTTATGAAAAAGGATCCATCCCTTTTGAAAATAGATCAATCCCTTAAAAAAGGGATACATCCCTTTTGAGTGTTTAGCCACTGTTTTGTAAAGGATCAATTCCTTCCATGGGGCTTGCACAGGTTAGCCTTTACCCAAAATTTGTTTCCTTTACCGCCAACATTCCATCACCTTTCCCCCTTCTTCTTTTGTAATTTTTGGCCGACCATCTCCCCAATCAAAGTCAATTCATTTTTAATTAATAATCAATCTCCATTATCACATCAAAATTTAAAATTAAAACCCTACCCTTATCACGAAATTCCCATAAAAAACTCTTCCCTTACCCCATAAAATCTTTGAAACCTTTATTTTTCTTATTTTATACTTGGCCGAAAATTTACCCTACATCAAATCTCCATAGCCGCCGCACCCTTACTTTCACCCATTGCCGAATTTTGTTGTTGTTTTCTTCTATTTATTTAATCATTCGAGAACCATGGTGAGGACAAGAAAACAATTCGAGAAACCATCACGTCCGTCGATCACCCTTGGTGGTGGTGATCGTCGATTTACTGCAGCACCGATAGTCGAAGTGTCGAGCGGTTCTAATTCAATGCCTCAACTTCCACCCGTTCGTTCACCACCACCTGCTGCCCGATTAGGGAGAGACGCGCACCTGACCCGTGTGCTCATCAACCTTCACCTGAGACTATGTCGTCCTCCACTTATCATAGGACTTTTACGTTTTTGCCAAATCGTATAACATCTAATACAACGCCAGGTGTGATTTCATTTAGATTACTTGGACAACATTTCGTTCAATCATTAGCATATTTTTATTTTTCTATGGGGTTTGTGACGGATGTCACATATTATGATTTTCTAATCTCTTTTCGTGAGATTTTGTAGGACTTCGACGTGGATGTATCATACGAAGGACTTATCAGTTTGCCCGTGCTACCTACAATGCACACAACACTAAGGGATGTCATATTCACGATCCCGCTCTCCGCTATATACACAAGTTCCTTGCATATAATTATTATGGGTGTAATCACATTACATCCTAGCTAAGTAAGGTTGAATTATTTTTCTCATGGTGTATGTAAACCGGTGTGAAGGTAAATTTGGGTTTTTGGTTTAAGCACGCCTTCGAGTGTGTTTTGCGTTCTGATCGTCCATTAATTCTCAGACCTTACATTACTCACCTTGCATCACATTTATTTCCGCTAATGTTTAATTCTAATCAATTTACTTATGCTTTTTACAATGGATCCTTTTCATGCTAGGTGTTTGGACTCGATGGGACTTCTCGCCGGAACTCCTAGTGCGCCACACATTGTCCCTTCTGGCACAATTACCCCACTCAATGAACGCGTATTTCTTCGGAGGACTACTTAATCCATGGAACCAGAAGAGTATCCCCCTTCGGACTTGCATAACAAAATCCATGAGATGCATGGTCAGCTAGACTTCTTTGAGACCAACATTGTCGAGATACATTTGTACCTTCACCGATACCCTATAGACGTGGCCAAGGCCGCGATCGACATTGATCGAGGAGTATCTTAACCCTCTCTCTTTTGCATCTTACTTTTTATTGTTCATATTGGGGCGATATGATTTTAAGTGAGGGGGTGGAATTGGAAATCAAATTATCCTTTGCTTATTATTTGATTGAAATTGAGTTATTTCTTGACTTGAATCGTTGATAATCTTGATTACCGATCTTTAGTATGATTTAATTTCTTTGTGTTTATTTGTGAATTCAATCACGTTCTTGTTAAATTTAGGATTCAAGATAACATGGCACAACAAGTTGATGTAATGTTTTCTTGGTAATTTCATGAATTTGTTGATTGAACTGGAGCATGACTTAGTTCAATAAGCCTTTAGTGTGAGTTTTAAGCCTAATGAGCATATCTTTTATTCTTGCTCTTTGTTTCAATTGAGTATGTCAAACTAATTGATTCCATTCTAGAACTTGTAACTCAATGCTTGATAAGACTACACTTTTGATTATGATGCTATGATATGATAGAGGCATTATGATTAAACTCGTTTCCTTTCCCAAACAAATAGCCTACCCTTTTTATTTTCTCCTAGTGAACCACTTTGAGCCTTATATCCTTTTCTTTGATTCACCACATTTTTAAAACCGAGCCTATTTTATTTTGCCTCTTTTTGTACCCTTCTTCAAGATAAGGTGAGATTATTTAAAAAAACCAAAAAAAAAACAGTTAGAAAAATATAGTGCAAAATCGAACAAAACAGTCTAGAAATTTACCCTGTTCGAACAACAGAAAAACCAGTATAGTTTGGTTCGAACAGTGCATAAAAATTCAAACAACGCAATTTTGATTCGAGTGAGCGGAAAATTTAGTGCAGAATTTTTTTCGAGCAGAAAAAAGCAGAAAGAAAAAAAGAATGTTTCGAAAAAAGAAAAAAAGAAAAAAAAACATAAAAATGAGTGAATAAAGTTTTTTTTCTTGTTTCGCATTCCTTTCATTTTTACCTTCCTTTGAATAAATTTTTGGAATAGTCTCTACTTTATCTTGAATTTTAAAACCCCATTTTTCGACCTTTATCCTACCCGAACCATAGCCCCATTACAACCCGTTTTGAAGTCCTTTTGATTGTTGCATCATTTTCATACTAAGTAGTGGAGATTAGATTTAGTTACAAGTGTATGACAATGTGTTGATTAGTTTAGGCTTGAGCGATTCTTTCACCTTAAACACTTGAGTGACCATGTGAGGAACTAAGTCTTGTATTCTTTGAAATTGATGGATGATTGAAATGCAATGATTGATTTACACTTAATTGATAATGCCTTGCTTGATAGATCTTGAATTTCAACATTTACTTGACCGAGTTTGCTTAGAAACCTTGGAAATTCTGTGAAATTTAGATTGACAACTTTAGATTTTTCGCATGGTAATTGAGAAATTCTTGAGGACAAGCATTAAATAAGTGAGAGGAATTTGATTAGTATTTAAATTATACATCATTTTATGATTAATTACTCATTGATTAGATAATTTTAGTTGCTAACTTTGGCCTTTTCAATAATTTTCGATGTAGGACATTGAATTCTAGAAATTATGCTAAGAACAACGAAATCGTGCAATTTTTCATTTTTATGGATTCATGGCCGGATTAGTGAGCACGAATTGGGACATGACACACCCAACATGGCATCTAGTTAGCGGTTGATATGGAAGTTGACGTGGCAGGTGACTTTGTGCCCAATCAACAACTTCTACAAGGCCGAGTCAGCAGCTTCTAGAAGATCCAATCAGCAATAGCGTGGAGAATGAGACTTAGCCTATTTCTTGATTTTAAATTAGGATTTATCTTATTTTTATTTTTGGGAATTATCTTTATGAATTATCTTTTGTTTTGAATATTATTTTCTAGGGTTTTTTAAGACTATAAATACCCTATTGCGGTAAGCCTCAAAGCATATTCAACTCATCACGTAAGCATTCAATCATTTTCAAACTCTCTTGTTTCTCTCTTTCTTTAGATTTATAAAAGTTTTTATTTCTTTTTATATTTCAAGTTACTTCAGTTTTCTTTCAAAAATGCTAAGTATGTTTTCTACCATGCTTAGCTAAGTTTTCTATAGCCAAGGGCTAAAGCAATGACTCGACTCTAAGTCGTGAGAATCGAAAAGCGCTTCAAACCCTCAAGGGTTACATTTTCAATTTTCAAAAATCAAGGATCGGCAATCGACCATCCTTTTATAATCAAGGCGATTTCATTTCAAAAAGTGTGTGTTTGAATTGAATTTCGGTTTTGATTAATAGTTGGGAGGAATGATCGACATGTGGCACATTCGACTTACTGTGAACAAACTTAGCGGCAGTCCGCTAAGGGAAACTGAAATCGGGTTAGATTCTCAATTAAGACAATAGAATCTGAGTCGGGTTTTTCCAGATTTTTAAAGCGTTGAATTAATAAGTGATTGACGCTATTAACTCACAAAGAACTGGATCTAAAGATAGATTCTCGATTCATTAGAGAGAAAAATAAGTTTTATGGGTTGGGCCCTATAGACTATAACCGGAGTTAGCCCAAAGGTAAATCCTATTCGATGATCGATTTAAATCGAGATAAAAGCTTTAGCCTAAGGCTGGTTTTCAGCAATTGAATTTTCACTTAAATTTTACTTAGTTTACTTTCTTTATTTTTCTTTCACATTTTGCTTTTTATTTCTACTCTCAAATCTTCCTCTTATTTTCTTTTACAAATCACGCCTGAAATCATATCAAAAGTGAGGAAATTGTCAAATTCCTAATCCCCATGGGTCGACCTTACTTTTACTATTCTACTTATTCTTATCATTTTATTAGGATTAAGGCTATATATTATGGCATAATAACGATGCGTGTCAAATAACCAAGAAGTCTGAATCAGAAACATACAACTGGGGTGGGAAAAAATCATTGAAGTTCAAAGACATCCAACAGGTGCCAGTAAGATTACCCATAAATGAGTAATCTTTGTTATTGGGAATTGTAGCAAAACAAAGACATTCAATTACCCATAAATGAGTGCCAGTAAGATTGTTCAGAATATGTACATTTTTGAATAATTTGGGATAATTATAAGAGTAGTATATATTTCGAATATTTCTTTAACTATTAACAATTTAAGTACACTTTGGAGATAGCTGCTCGAATCAAGAACCTTAAAAAAAATAATATTTTTTTAATCAATAAAGTCTCATAATAAGTTCAAATAATCTAACGTACCTAAGACTGCATTCAATATGGTTACAAGAAGTTTACTAAAACTGCACATTTTTAGATAAATCATTCAAGGAGACCGGGTTGTTCCAATATTCCTCATCATATTTACTAAAACTGCTCCAAATTTATGGTTGGTTAAAGACTTTACTAAATTTACCAACATCATGAAACTACATAAACCGCAATCGGTTCTCTTCAGAATGAAACAGAATACAGTAGATTTTTAATTAAATAATTATTGTAATAAAATGGAAGTGGGGAAGAAAGTCATCATCCTATGGATTTGTGCAATGGTGGTGAGCTCAATGCTGCTGATGGAACATGGTGCCAATGCGGCACCGACGATCAGCTACGACGCAATAGAAAGAGATCATGGAAAGATATGCAAACTCGGTTTTAAAGGTTGCCTGCCACCGCCGTCCAATAAATACGATCGAGGATGTGAAAGGTTCAACAGATGCCGTGGAGGAGGAGGCCGTAAATTAATGGCGATCATTCTCTGAACGCAACGCCCTTTCCCAAGACGGACTTCCCCCTTCCAACTATAATACTATACGAAAAGAATATAAAAGGAAATTAATGGGTTAATATGTTGGTTTTTGTATCGTTGTTGTGATTCTTCAATTCTTGGAATATAATATCGACATGATTATCCAATGCCTATTCTGCTTAATTGTGTCATTTAATATAGAGATTGTCGAAACGATTTTTAACACAGGTGGGGAAGCGAGATTTTGAAAACCGCATCATTTTTAATTATTCTCTTCTCAATTTAATTTCAATTAAAAACAATGCAATTTTAGAAAACCTCTCGTTTCGAAAAATTGGAAATTTCTTTACGATAAAAATATAAGGTTCGAGGAGTCGCCACCAATCTTTGATTAGGGTGTGATTGGACACCCAAAAACTTTGTCATTTTAAATAAAAAATTACTTTTAATTAAAACGACAAATTTACGGTCTACAGTACCAAAATCCAAGTTCGAGAGTCGGTTACGTGTGGGGAAGGATTAGCACCCCCACAACGCCCTAAAACGGTACCTAATCGATTAATTAATGTGTTTGCAACGAATTTCACAAGTTCTAGTTTAATTTGATTAATGATCCCTTTAAACAACAAAAATGCAAATTTGAAACAATGAAAAGCAACAAAATATTTTGATTTAAAATTACCAAATCATTATAAAAATAAAGAATATTCGATTATTTAAAAATATGGAGACCGGATCTTTAGGTGAGCTCTAACGATCTTTTCTCAAATAATTTAAATAGCCGAATATTTCTTTTTCTTTCATTCCCAAATTTTAAAGTGATTAATCCAAATTTAATTAGGTGTTATTGACGGAATACAATTTTAATTTAAAATTGTCAAAACGACTCTCTAGTGAGTTAAAAGAAGCCATCCTGACAATTTTAAGTTAAAAGGGTATTACCCTTAATCAATTTATGTAATAAGAGTCGAGTTATGCACGTGAGGCTATCATGTAAAATACAACACTAGATTAAAAAAATGATACAAAGAAAAACAAAAAAAATGTAAATATAAAAAATAAATATATTATATAAATATATAAAAAATAAAATTTGGGGTTCAAATTAAATATATATATTTAAATGACTTAAAAAATGTTAATATTCACGAAATGAATTCATAAAAAATAACACAAAACTTAAAACCATTAATAAATATATATATACCTATGTAACAAATTAATCAATATTAATTCTAAAATTATGCTTATTATAAATATAATTTTAATACTATTACGTGAAACCTAATTAATTGAATACCAAAATAATACCACTTCAAATGTAACAACATAATGACTGAAGGTAAATGTAAAATAAATTTAAGACTAAAACCATGAATTAAACAAAAATCAAGTCATAAAACATAACTTCTTACATTTCGTATACTAAAATCAAAATAAACCCAAGAATGCATATAA